AAGTACTCTTCAGCAGCACTGTTTGGTTCAATACCAAAATACTTGATAGGTTGAAATATAGATGACGCATTGTTATTGCGAAGACCTCGAGCGCCGCGACCGTTCTTCATCCAGTCCAGTACCGACCAACGTCCTTCATAAGCCGAATAGAATAGACGCTCAGCTTCTGACAAGTACTTCCCAGACACAATCGCGGTACTGTGAGTACGGAATGCAGAGCTGACGAACGGGTTCTGTGCTGACATGTTGTATTCAACAGAAGTCGCATAAGTGGCGTGGAGCTCGTCAACAGCCTCCTTGAGGCTCATATCCCCCTTGAGCTCGCCGTAAGCTGTCACCAACACTTCTTGATAGAGTTCGTTACCCATATAGCTATTCCTGGCCTCCATCTTCAATACTTTACCATCAACATTTCCATCCATGTACACAGTGAAGAAGTCGGCCCCCATTCCTTCCTTAGCGAACCCATCAAGTGTATCACCTCCTGGCATGTTGGCGGCGTAGCCGACGAGTACCCGTGCCGGAGTTCCATCGAGGTTGGTTTTTCCAAGATTAGTGAAGCCGAACTCAGTAAGATAGGTGGCATATCTAAAGGCCTGTCCCTGAGCCTCGTAGTTAGTGTTACCATCTACGGCGCCTTCACTGAGGACCTTCGCAATTCCCCCGAAGACTTCCTCATGTTTACTATAATCAGCAGAGCTGGCCGTGAGCACATATTTGTACGGTCTGTTAGGAAGGGCTTGGACTCTAGCCATACCATCATCAGTCAAAATAATATCTTCTCTTTCGGTGAGAATTCCATCATCCATACCGGGTAAGGCAAGGCCCTCAGTTTCAGCTTGATCTGAGACACCGCAAGGAATGGTGGTCCTGATGCCAAGACTCCTTCCCCATGTGGTGCAATAGGTCTTCCTTATGAGTTGCATACGGGTTGTCAGCGTTGAAACAGGACTCTGCAATACAGCGAGCACCACTGTTAAGAGATAGAGTGAAAGCTTTGGATTGCTTGCCATCGTAGAAGGATTTAGCAGCCTACAAAGTTTCTGATATAACCCCTCGTCGCTCAACCAACGACCCTCAACGCACAGCCAGGAACTTCCTGACAGGAAGAGTCCCCTATCGCGGTGGTTCACCGTGATCACCGGGTGATACCCGGTGATCCGTAGTACCGGCGATCATCACCGTCGGTGATGAACTAACCGATCCACATAATTCAGGTAATGCCGAGATTATATCATCACGACTCCCAGTTCCGGACGCGTGAACAGCGA